GCAGGACAAGGTTTATTTGATCTTACACTTGCAAATGGTTTTTCAGAATCCAAGTTCAAGTAAAGAAATACTAATGGATCAATCTCTGTCACGTCCATATGAAACTGCATCTCTTGTGGTTTCTTCAAGATGGCTACAGCATCACCTGTAATTAAAGGACTTCCTGTACTTGAGAAATCAATCTTGATATGTGAGAGTTGTAAAGATTGAATCAAGTCGGTCTCGGTTGCACCAGGAAAGGGTACAGTGATCAAGACTTGCTCTAAGGCCTTTCGAAGCCATAATGGAATTTGACTCACATGCTTCTTATTGGCTTGATCGTCAGGACCAAAAGAACTTCCTCGGACATGGACTAAAGTGGTATTACCGTGCATGTAGCTTGTGATGAAATCTTCCATGCGCTCTTTACCGTAGCCTGTGATGGGTAAGGTACGACCTGTGACATCAAAGTAGTTCATACGGTGGCCTTGAAGATCGGCATCGAGTGCTTGGACGACTGCGATCTGAACATCTTCTTCTTTTTCGTTGGGATCGGCGGTAGGAGGTAAATAAATACCGAAATCCATATCGCCTAGTGTTAAACTCAAGACACTTGATGGGTTAAAGATACCGACTGTGGCAGATAGTGCGACACCACCTAATGGATGAGTGCCTGTGAAGAGCATTGATTTCATATCTGTCTTTTGTAATCCATTCATACCTATTTATGTATAAATTACTTAAAACTTGATTTATAGTTGTTTTATATCTATATATATATTGTTTACCTTCAATTTCAACTGTTTTATCAAGTGTGACCTGGGTCATTGGTAACCAAGCTAAATTCAGTGAAAGAGGACCGGATACTCGCCACAAGACAGTTTCAGCAACGACAGCATCTTTACAAAACTCGATCAAGGCATCCGTATCCTCAATGACAAACTCGGTAATAAAATTAAAGCCAGTCACTTTAGAAGAAGTATTTAATTCCAAGGAAGGAAGATCGATTTTTCCCATCGCCTCCTTTTGATAATATACGTTGAGTTGACTGACTTCGGTTCCGATGTGACCAAACCATCGATTGAATTTATGTTGTAAAGAGAATAAACTCGGCTGAAGTTGTATTTCACCGATGACGTGCATGGTCATGATATTATCTTGGGTCACATTCAAGATAGAAGCTTTTTGAAAAGAGAATTCGACACTGTCTTGGACGACACGTTCAGCAAAGGTTGGAGCGAACCAGAGTAGTATGAATAAAAGTAACATGCTACTGGTTGTTATTAAGATCGCTATATATGTACATGTTTTTTCGGATCGAGGTCTTCTAGATGGTCGATCGTTTTCTTCATCGACAGTGCTGCTGCCATAAGGTGGTTGTGAAGAAGAAGAGGAGCCAAGAAGTGGACTGGATTCTTCTTCTGCTGCTGCTGCTGATGCTGCTTGTGTGTTTTGGTTGGCTGGGTATTTTCCTTTTCGATGATCCAACTGTTGTTGTTGTTGTTGTAGTTGACTACTTGAAGAAGAACTTTCTCCCACTTTATCATAAATCATTCCTATTTTTAACAAAAAAGTAAAAAAAAGGGAGTTTCATTTTCTATAAAAAATAATTTTTTTTTTTATATACCTACTGACTTCAAAAATTTTGACCAAGTTACATGACGCATGAATCTTCTTGTTAACCTCGTGGTCTCCTCTCGTCTTCATAACTAATTTATACTTCAAGCTGTTGAACAATAAATTATGTCTGATACTTAAGAGAGAGAGAGAGAGGGGGGGGGGGGTTATTGTAAAGACATTAAAGTGAAAATAATTCTTTGGGTAAAAAAAAAGGTAGCACTATATTTGCTAAACTCTTTTGTGGGATGGATGCACTGTAGTTAATAAGCTCAGGAGGAGAATTACTGTGTGCACTCATTCCATATTCGAAAAGGGTTTAAGCTATTTTTTTTATAATTGTTAGGTGTATATGAATACAAACTATATATTAAATTAAGCTGCTTTAGAGACCACCACTCATAATTACAATCGGATTACGTTTGGCTATTTCTATATCACACTTTACAAATACTCAATTTTTAGCAATACTGATATTTACTAAAAACCATTATGTATGTCGCCGAAATCATACATAATGTTACCGGATTTTTTTTTTAAAAAAAAAACGAGTTGACCTATTCGCTTCGCACATTGAGACGGTCATATATCGCTCTAACAGAAACATCTTCACCATACCCGATACATGCTCTCAGTCTGTTCAGAAAAGAGCATTTTTATTGAGTTTTATTATGCAATGCACTTACCTCTTTATAAATAAAATTAGAGGGATATTAAACGTCACCCGCCTCGATATATGGTAAATTCCATCACCTACCCAGTTTTTCTTTTCAAAAAAAAAAAGAGAACTCTTTTGAAACTACCATTGCACTACGGTAAAGAACCCTTACGCTATGATACCTTTTTACTGACCTTGATTAGTTTTTTTTTTTATATATAAAGAAAAAAGGGGGTACTATACACAAGATTTTATTTTCCTTAAAGCAGGAAAAACTATCTATCTATAGCTGAAGAAGGTGTGGGATAGTAAATAACGGAAAGTTCGCAAAAACCTCCAGTTTCATCATCATGTAAATCTTTATACAACAGCTTTGGACTTTTTTTTAAAAAAAGAATCTGGTCTTTTCTTTACAAATAATACTATATTTATATATATTTATATATGTATATATATTCAAACCCTTCACTCACTTATACACTCACACCTTCTTTACACAAACACACGCTCACTCCAAAATAAATCGCCGTAATAAAAATTGTTTAAATAGACACATTTATAAAGTTTTATTAATTTAATATACAAAATCATTTTTTTATTGATGAAAAAATATCTGATATGTTAATATACAAGGTATACTTTATTTACCAAGGGGGAGGGAGAGTGAGAGAGTGAGAGGCAGAGAGAGAAAGAGAAAGAAAGAAAGAGCGCCTATTTTTTTTTTCTTCTTTTTCTTCTTGTTCTTTCTTTCTTTCTTTTTCTTTTTTTTTTTTTTTCTTTTAAGTCATCAAGACCCGACATAGGAATCACGTCGAGTGTGATACTTTTTCTATAAATCTAATTAAGAAATAAGTATCTTCATACTCAAGCATTTCTTTTAAGGCTTACGCGCATCATTTTCGTGCACCATTTTTTTTTTTTTTTTCATTTGCTGACGTCCACCTCACTACTAATGGATTTGGATGGGATACCCTTTTTATTACATACATACAATCCGTACAAAAAAAAAAGAGTATTTTTTATTGAGATTTATTAAAAAATAAAGTTTTCATAGCTATAATATATCTTATCACTGACAAGATGTATTATGTATGCAGATTTCAAAGTTTTTTAATTCTTAGAACCATCTCTTGTCTAGATACGATACGTGTGCTGGTCAAAGAAGAGATTAAGACTATTGTGGTAAGGAAGATTTATAATCAAAATAAATACTTGTAATAAACATCTTAAAAACCAAAATAACAGAATAAGACCTATTAGTTTCTAAAACAACATTATCTTTTTATTTGTCTCATCTATCCATTCATAATTTAAACACAAACTCTCGTTATCGTTAATGAATAAGTGATTTAAGTTATAGGTTATTGATTAGAAAGTTGATATATGTATCGTTTTTTTTCGAAAGGCATCATTGTAGTCGCTCGAATTTTTTCTTTATCGGCAGCATTATAAAAAAAAAACCCCCTGATAAATATCAACGTTTATTTAAACCCCAAGAAAAAGGTCGGATAGACGTCTTTCTTTTTTTTTTATATATACAATTTAGTTTCCTTTCTGCTTTAAAATGAGAAAAGAAAAGCTATATGAAAGATTTTTTCTCAGGCATTTTCATGAAGCTGCAAATCTTCCGGTAAAAAGCACATATCTTATATAAAAAAAAAAGTACAATATTAAGAACACTCTATTAGTTGGGGAAGAAGAGAAAAGATGCTTTTAACTTAAGTATGTTATTTCTGGTATTTGTTCTCTTCTTCATCTTTTTATCTGATTGCTGCAAGTGTACAACTATTACGAAATCTTACGAAAAAGGTGATTATTTCTTTTGGTGCTCGGTAAAATAAATGTTTATTTTGAACCAAAATAAGCAACTTTGATTAATCGTTTTATATTAAGAACAATATCGAAGTAATACACTTTAATTTTTCTGCGAGTTGTTTTTTCTTGCAAATTCTTCGTGATGTGGCCCCTGCTCTTTTTTTTACATTTTTTTAACTACGTCTTTTTTTTTTAAAAAAAAAAAATAAAACTCTTTGACTCAATATACTTTATTTTTGTGCATGGTTGAGCTGTTATAATTTAGTCATTTATTTGCACACTTGAATTCCTTTGGATATTAATAAAAAAATTGATTCATTATTATCATTTTATTAAATTGTTCTGCTTGTCAACAGGCCTTGATGCTCGCTTTTTATCACAAAACATCATCTTGTCACTCTATAAAGTGTTAAAGTTTGTTTGTTCGTGGTGAAAGAAAAAGAAGTTCGATATTAAAGATAAAAAGAGTTTCGTAAGCACCGGTTCCTGTTGACAAGTAGAACGACTTGATAAAGTAAAAGTAAAATAAAGAAAAGAGAGTCTTTAAAAGTAAAAAAACAATGGAGTTAAATATCCAAGGGAATCCAAATGTAAGAAATAAAAGAAAATATAATAAAAATAAGATATTATTAAATTAGAAGATAAAAGGTCTTAAGTATAAAGAAGAATAAGCACTTAAATTGTTACAAAATAGTGAATTGATTTTATTTAGTTTGATATTTCTAAAGGCATTTATATGTTTTCTAATTTTTAATATTTTTTACAAAATACCGAGTTTTCAAACGAGCATCATCCTCGTCAAGAAAGCGTTGTCGTTAAGGAGGACAGTCGTTGAGAACAATAGATAATAAAAAAAAGGATGTAGCAGGAGCATAAATATAAGCTACATACACTATGAAGGCCGAATGCAAAAAAAAATTAAAAATGTAAGAACCCATGGCGGGGGTCGAACCCGCAATCTTTAGTTTAGAAGACTAACGCGTTATCCAATTACGCTACACGGGCGCTGTACATTCTTTGAATTTGTATTTATAATATATCTGTTTTGTAATTTAAAATTGAATCACGTGATATACACGTGAGTTTCATGCTTCTTCTTCGCTAAGTAACAATAGACTTTTTCAAGTTTATCTAATGAGTGAATATCCAAGAGTGTTAAAAAGGAACAAAAGGTCGCCACCGCAAAAAAAAAAACATTCGTTCCGCTGTTGAGTATAGATATGCTGGAATATCTCGGCTCTGTTCATCGTAACATTTGATTAATATCAATTGATTTTGCGCTGGATTGACCAGTAGAACAAGTGATATTCTACAGTTAATTGAAGAAAATCCATCCATCAAAAAAAAAAATTGCGATGGATATATTTACTATTTCAGATGAGATTTTTCTGTTTAATGCTAATGATTTAAAAACAAATGATGAATTGTTAGAAAATTTTAATTGTAGAAAACAATTAAATAAAATATCAAAATAATTTTTGTTTCAAATTTAAATAACAAAAAATGAAAAGACTTGGGATTTCCGTAAATGCTATTTAATGAGATTTTGTTCCTTTTTAACACTCTTGGATATACACTCATTACGATAATCTGCTGCAGTTGAGCGACATATTTTTTCTTGAAGTACGACACTTTTTTTTTTTTCTCAAAAAAGTGCGACGACTTATTATTGTGCGACATCATTTTGAGAAAAGGTGTAATTGCCAAATTTAGTTCTTGAATTTTTTGCTTGATTGTGGTCTTGATTTCATCACAGAACAATGTGTACTTTCAAGCTCTGTTTCAAGTTGAGATATGCGCTCGTTTTTTCTTCTTAGCACCTTGTTTATAAACTTTCTTAACAAGTTACCAAATTGCTGCATTAAAGTAGTAAAAACTTTACGGATTACTTGAGTTCCTAATATGTTATTTAACACGGAAGTACTACGCTCACACTTCTAAATATTATTATCATTTTCCCAAAGTAAATTTTAAAAGATTTTGTATCGGACAGACAATATACACCTGTTTTTTTTTTCCTTCGCTACTTGATTCAAGAGCAAATGCTATGTATATTTATACAATTGATTATTTCAAAAAAAAAATTTATTTCATTCAAACAACTTTCTAATTTAACCTTCAAATCAAATCCCAAAAACAGTGGGAAATCCAGTAAATGTAATATATACGTTTTTTTTTTTTGACAGATTTGTAATAACGATGTAGCCTACTAAAAAAACAACAACGTGAATAATGCTATGCTCTCTTTTGATAATTTACAATACAGTGTTTGCTAATTAATTTTAAGTTAATTTCCTAAAACGTGGTGGGGACACTACAAACATCTTTTCTGTATCTCTCTCTTCTCTTTTTTTTTCTCTTTTTTTTTCTCTTTTTTTGCAGATCGCATTTTTCTTGCTGTATACCGATCAACGCAGTATTGATATTCTGCATTAAATACTTCTATTATTTCTTTTTCAATTAAAGATAATATGTTTTTTCTGCAAAAATTTTTTTTTTAAAGTTTATTACAATTCAGGTACTCACACATTAAATATAAAAGAAAAAAAAAACTCTCCTTTCCTTCTCATAGCGAGCATAAGATTACTCAAAGAAACAAATCAACCCTTCACACATATACGTATGAAGCCATGCTTTTAGATATAGTATTAAGAAATAAGGTTATGTATAATATAAACATTTTTTTTTTTTATTACCCCAACATCCCCCTTTCTCTCCCCCCCCCCCCATATTCCCCTTATTTTCCTTTAATAAAAGTTTTTCGATTGAAATTTTTTAGTACTACAATATGGCTGTCAGTTTTTACCGAAATCGTCAATTACTATAAACGGGTTTGTATTTTTTTTTTTCATGCAAGAGAGATGGTTTTTAGCTACAATTATTGTCACACTTGACCGATCTCTTCTCATCGTCTCAATTAAATAAATAATAATAATAAAAAAAAAAAAACAACGGAAAACAAAACCACAAGGTTACATTTAGTAAAAGCGAACATCATATTTCACACATTTTTTGTTCGTATTCGAGAAAATTTAAGCATTTGTTTACGCCCAAAAGTAAAAAAAAAAAAAAAAAAAAAAAAAAACCTGTTTCTTCTTTAAAAAGAAAAAGTAATAATCGTACGATTTTATTTTCCTATATCGTGTCTACCTAATGTTTTAGGTCCGGGTAATTGAAGTGTTCTTCCGCGACGGCTTCTTGCAGGACGAGGTATAGGATTAAATTTTTTTCTGGGCTTAGGTGGTTCTGCATCCCATTCTGGCTCGGCTTTGATCTCGTCTTCGTTTGATTTATGTTTCTTTGCTTCTTCTTCGTTCAAATCTTCCTCTGAAGCTTTACGCTTCAATGTTGCTTCAGTTGATTCATCTACTGCTGAAGATCTTTCCTTAGTATCTTCAGTAGTAGGCTTATCTTGATCAATTTCTTTCTTACTCTCGTCGGCAAGCACTTGCGTCTCTTCTGTAGTCATTTCATAAACATCCCTCTTTTCCTTCTCGATACCATCTTTTTCTACAGTCTCAACTGTTGTTTTTTCAACTACCGTTTCTTCTATCGCTGTATCTTGTGATGGGGTCTTTTCAAAGGGTTTCTTAAATTCTTCAGGTTTCTTAAACACTTCTTGAGGCTTCTTGAACACGTCGTGAGGCTTTTTAAAGACATCTTGCGGTTTTTTGAATTCGTGGGGTTTCTTGAATTCGGCAGGCTTATCAGATTCATGAGATTGAGATGCCATTGCAGCCTTTCTTTCCTTTTTCTTCTTTTTTTGTTCCATACGATGAAGTCCCTTCTTTCTCTATAGAAAAAAAAAAAAAAAAAAAAAAACCCCAAATTAGAATATAAAAATTATCAAGGATCTGACAGGTACCTTTTCATTTTCTTTTTTCTCTTGTTCAGTCAGTTTCTTTGGTTTCATTTTTTTATCATTTTGTCCAAGATACTCTTCTTGTTCAGCAAGAGCGGCTTGCCATTGTCTGGAGAAGGTCTTTACTTTACGATTAATTAAAATCGTAGCAGTTTCAAATGAGTCGAGGGAACCGAATTCATGTTCCATGGTATTCCACGTATCGATTAATCGCATTGGATTATCTACGTTCTTTTGTAAAGCCTTTTTGAAAAGGGATTGACATACAGTATAGTTTCCTTGGTTACGTTCGAATGTGATGTATTGAATCCAGGCTTCTGCATCTCGACCGTGCGTTTCTACAATTCCTTTCCATAATTCTCGTGCTTTATCGATTTTAAAGAATCTCTTTTCGGCGAAATATGCATAATATTTTTCAATACGGTAATAAGGGTCTTCTGTTTCAGGGAATGCTGTATGTAAAAGAGAGTGAATATGGTATATAATAAATCAAATAGTAAAAAAAAAACAAAATAATGTACCTTCATTAAAAATTTGGAGACATTCAACAAAGGCGATTTCCATATCTATGAGATCATCATCACTTACTTTTTTTTTAAAGAAAGAAAATATGAGTTAGTTATTAAAATTCCAACGAGCATAAAATCTATTCTTTACCATCTTCCCATTCAATTTCTCTTCGAGTATAATCAAGTTTTGCTAATAATACTGTAATTAAATCTTCCATGCTAGATAAAAGCTGTTTCGAAGTTAAAGCAGTATCGAAAAGATCTATATATTTAAAGATTAATATATCATAATATTAATAACAACAAAAATAATATTTACTATTCATTAAATCTTCTTCTTGATTTTCTGACTCCCATAATCTTGCTCTATGAGAAAACAATATTCCAGACCAAGGACAATTACGAATAGCGCGTAAAGTAATTGGTTCTAATTGAGAAGTAATTCTACCTTTTTCAATCTACACAACAAAATAAATCAGTAAAAAAGATCTTCTATATTTTTTTTTAAGAGAAACTTACTAAATACAAGATGTAATCATCCCATAAAGTGGGATCAAGACAATAAATCACAATTGCTCTTTCATATAAACATCTTACATGATTGACACTGGACATATTCTTTGATATCTTTTCATTCTCAATATATTCATAAAATGTATCCAATGCGTATCCTGAGGAAGTAAGTTTCATCTCAAAGAAATCTCTTTCTTCAGCCGCTTTTTTTGTTTTTGAATAAATACGAGTTGTCTTCATCATGGTACTTTCATAATTGTCGTTATCCCAAGTAGATATAAAACTAGAAAAACTATCGAATGTATCTTGATAATCGATATGAAGTACACCTAATCGTGAGACAAACATGTCATAAACTCTTTTTTGTTGTTCAGGTGTTTTAAACTTATTTAGTATCTCTAATTCGAATTCGGCATAGGGCTTCCAGATCTCTTGACTTTGTTTGATATGAAATTGTGTAGCTCTAACTGCAAGTAATAGATATTTACGAGTTTTTTCGATTACTTCTTCTGCTTCTACTATTATCGTCTCGTTGTCAAATTGTTGATGAAATTCTTCAAGGATAAATTCTATATAGGATTTCCAAACATTCATTACTACCAGAAAAAAAAAAAAAAAGTTAATATAATTCTTCTTAAAAACGCGCTACAGTCATTTAAATTTACATAAATAATCGTCTTGTGCTAAATCATATAACTCCATAAGCTTTTGACGTCCTTGTTCTGTATTGGCTTCCTTTTTAGCGTCATTAATCCAATCCAACCATAAAGCTTCGGTCAAAGGAAAGACTTGATGCATATTCAAACGAGCGCGTTCAAGTTCTTCTGGTAAACCAGCTTGTTTTAAAGTTTCTATCAATTGAACATGAATTTGATACTGTGTATTATCTTCTTCAAGCTAAAATAGGATAAAAATAAGTATGGTTTCTTAGATTTATTTTATGCCTTTTTTTTTTATACTTTTTCCATGAGATCAGGTAAAGCTTCTAAAGCTTCTAAAGTTTTAGTAGCTTCGGATTCTTCTGGTGTTTTTTCAACCGTCTGCTGCTCAGTTTCTTCTGGTGTTTTTTCAACCGTCTGTTTAGTTTCTTCGGTTGTTACTTCTTGCATATCATGATCAGT